TTCGACGTTTCCACAGTAGTGACAGAACGGTGAGTCCACCCTTCCCATTCTATGAAGATATTCTCGGAAGTAACCATGACCGGTGAGGAATTGCGTCAGGTAGAAATCGACTTCCCCATGTGGTCTGTTCAGCCATGTTTGAAGGTCGCCTATAAGGGAGTGTGTCCATCGACCTTTTGTGCTCGCGTTCCAGTTTTGTTGCCACCGCTGGATTAGTTGCTCCGCGCCCTTGCCGCGGCAGCTGCTCGACCTATCTCGGCACTGAGATTGTAAATCTCTTTTCGCTCGTAAGCAAGTAGCTCAATTGGCATGACGCCAGAAATAACTAGAACCGCGTCCGCGGACACTGTACGGTATGCAGAAGCAATGCGTAGTGCCCCTCTGCGCTGTACCGAAGACATTTGAATCCGGTATGTTTTGACTTTCAATGCGTCAGCCCGTATTTCTGCCCCGTACAGGAGCACCGATTGGACCGCTGTCATCAGAGGCTTCCTGCGGCATGGCTTCGGGCCGCCCACGTTCGCCATCAGCCGGCTTAGAGCCGCCGTGCTCTGCGCAGCTTTTTCACATACTCCATGGAAGTGTTCCCAGAATGTGAGTTTGCTGTCAAGCTTCACCCCTAGGTATTTTGTAGACCTAGAAGTCGTCACGAGTTGAGGTCCGACCATTATATTTATAATTGTTGGGATCCGTTTCCTGGTGAGGAGCACGATCTCCGTTTTGGCTGTAGCCAATTGCTGACCGTGATCGCTCATCCATCCACTGACGTTGCGCATGACCTGGTTTAGCTTGAGCTGTGCTAGCTGGACATTTCTTGCTGTTATGACGGCTGCCACGTCGTCCGCGAAGGCGACAAGGAAGGCGCTCTCCGGCATTTCCGTGCGCAACAGACTGTCATACGTGGCGTTCCAGAGGTCCGGGCCAAGTACAGACCCCTGTGCCGCTCCGTCGGTTATACATCTCTTTCTCTGACCTTGTGTTGTGTCGTACAAAAGCCAACGGTCTCTGAGGAAGTCCCGGATCATATCTAGCAAGTATGTTGGAACCTTGAATGACCGTTCCAAGGCCTCCAGCATGTCGTCCCATCTTGCCGAGTTGAAGGCGTTCTTGACGTCCAGTGTGACTAGCAGCACTATTGGCCGCGCCTGGTGGCAGGCTTCTTCGGCCTTATGTACCGCCTCGACTACTTCGCCAATTGCTCCTATAGTTGAGTGTCCCTTCCTGAAGCCATGTTGTCGGGGTGAAAGGCCTCCCTCGCTTTCTATGGCTGACGTCAAGCGTATTTTGGGCAGACTCTCCATCATTTTGCCTGCTGTGTCTAGCATGCAGAGTGGCCGGAAGGATGAAGGAGAGTTTGGGTCCCCTTTGTCCTTGGGTATAAGCGCCAGTCTCGCCTTCCTCCATTGGCTTGGGAAGACCCGGGCCCTAAGGCAGCTGTTGTACTTGTTAAGCAGAAGATCAGGGCTCGTTTCCGCTGCTAACCTGATTGCCTCCGCTGGTATGCCATCTGGGCCTGGAGCCTTGCCGGCTTTCATGCTTCGCAGGGCTAGCTTCAGCTCGTCTGTCGAAAACAGTGGTGCCTCGGCTTGCTCCTCGACGAACACTGTGTTGGCTCTTAGTGGTTGTGTGGGAAATAGCGCATCCACTATATTCTTAACTCGGGCCTCATCCATCGCCTGTGATGATGTATGGAACTTTTTCATCACTATTTTGTATCCCTGGCCCCAGGGATCGCGATCCACTTCACATAGCGCTTTCCAGCAGTTCCGTTTACTCTTCTGTATCTCGGCCCCAAGTGCTTTCTTAGCGCTTTTGTATGCTGCTGCTCTGGTCAGCGCCTCGGGTCTACCACGAGCGCGCGTTGCGAGTCTCCGCATTCTATGGCAGGCCCTTCGCAGCTCAGCAATTCGGTCATTCCACCAGTATACCTGATTTTTACCTGACCATGCTCTTCTCTGTGGCATTGAGGCTTTGCATGCCCGGTGAATGCAGCGCATAGTTTCTTCGACCAGCTTAGTACAAGACTCCCTGTTGTGGATCTCTCCCGTTGTGGGTGAAATACCTTGGGAATCTGCTAGGAGTGACGTATCGAACTTGCGAACATCGACCCTAGACGGGTTCCATCCTGGTTTCCTGCGAGGGATACTACGTGTTTGCCCTTGCGTTATGTCAGTGACTTGGAAGGTGATGTAGTTGTGGTCGCTACCACTCAGGTCTTCCATCACTCTCCATCTGTTAGCCGTTCGAAGAAGGCTTTCTGAGACCAGGGTTATGTCAGGGATAAAGTATCCAAACCCGGCCTTCGATATGTAGGGGTCGTTCCGGTGTTGAGGATGGTCAGGCCAATGCGGGCTGCCATTTCAAGGATCAGTCTTCCCCTGGTGTTTGTTTGGGGCATACCCCATTCCACGCCTCTTGCGTTGAAATCTCCAGCAACAACTATGTGGCCGGTTATATCGCGCAATTCGTCTTCAAGGTCTTCGAGCTTTCCCCTGAAGACAGGGACTGCGTCATTGGGAGACAGGTAGCAGCTCACCAGAGTGATTTGCGCCATTTTAACCCAGACGTAGCAGCGTCCGACCCCGCTGCTCTCTGCGCGATGGTTGGGGTTAGCAATCCATATCGCGGCCGAGCCTGATTGGTCAACATGCCAGGTTTCCTTTGTTCTATAGGGTTCACTGATGATGACAGCGTCTGCTCTTTGTTCAAGAACCAATTGGTCCAGCAGGTCATCAGCTACCCTACTCCTGTTCATATTGCCTTGTACAAATTTAATCATATTCTCCCAAGCTTTGTCTTAGCCTCAGCAAGGGCATCCCTGAAGGCCTTGCACGCTCCCGACCCGGGCAGGTGATTGGCATTTTTCTGTCCATCTCATGCCGAGCACAGGTAGCAGCTTGGGCTTTCTTTACATGCAGAAGCTATGTGGCCCTGCTGACCATATTTCCAGCATGAACTGCTTCTGTCTGGGCCTTTGCATGCCGCCTTTTTGTGGCCATACCCCAGGCAGCGGAAACACCTTTGGACATCCGCGCGCTCTCGGACGCGGCCGATAATCCAACCTACTCGCAGCTTCCCCTTTTCAATAAGAGTCCGGCCTGGCAGTTCGTCGATTTCCACCACAGCCATTCTTTGTTGTCGCGAGTTTACAGCGAGGAGAGAGACGCGAAGTTGGCCATTCATCTTGTCTCTTAACTCCCCGCGTATAGCGTTCTCCACTTCTGGGGCCGTGGTTAGGCAGACCATGCCCAGAACTTCTAGACGTAAACGTCTATTGAGAATACGGGCGTCTCCAAGCTGGCCAATGGCAGTGCACACATTTTCCTAAAATGCTGAGTGGTCGCCACAGCGCACCATTTCGATGAGCACGCTGCTTTCGCGGGTTTTCCGAACAGATCGAATTACGGTCTCCGTCTTCTCAGGTTGGAGCTTACCACGTATCGTTCCCAGCACCTCTGCATAGGTTTTGCCTTCAGCTGGCTTAATGATTAGTTTGGCGAGACTCTCCTTTTTTCTCACACTCTTCTTTTTTTTGCGGCTGGTCGCCGCGCCCTTATTGACCAAGAGTTCACCTGGTGCTGGCCCTGGCTTGGGCTTTCTGGTTTTTCGAGCCGTTTTCCATTGATTAGCTGGTACGGTTTTCTTTGCATTATTATTATTATTATTACCATTATTTTTATTAGGATTATTAATAATAATATTTTTACTACCGCTATTATTATTATTATTAGTAGTGTTTTTTTTTCTTTTCCGGCTCGCCTGTTGGGGAGTCGGATCGAGTTCGAGCTCTCTTTTGCGAGCCAGGGCCAGTTTTCTGCAGCTCGGAAAGGGTAGATCCCTTCCAGCGCTGCTCCCGGAGGTAGCTTAGTATATTTAGGCTCTCCTCGATTTGGGCCATACCCGTTTTTATGTCCATGGACACATTTTTCTGCTTGGAGACAGCACTCTGCATCTTCTTCAAGATGAGCCGAATCTGGGCCAATTGCTCATCTTCATTGCCTTCGCACGATCCCAAACTTGCGGTGGAATGCTTGTCTCTGTTTGCAGCGGCTGGCGTTTGATGACCACCATCCCAGCTGCCGGGAGTTGTCGTTTGCGAAGGTGTACCCTTCTGCACCACGTCGACGGCTCTCTCCGTGCTCGTGGTGCCGGCTTTTGCCTGCAGAGGAGTTTGTGGCGGGGAGCGCACAACTCTACTGCTCTTTCTAAATGCGCTGCATTCTTCCTCGGGAGCATCTACACCCATTACAGTTGTTTTTGCTATTTGTTTAATCATGTCAGTTCTATTGGGTCTCCGCTTCAAGCCGCTATCTCCACACGTAGCACAGTAGCTTTAAGTGTCCCGAAGTTCCCTTCTCTCAAAGGAGCAGGCCATCGCGAGGGTTGACACAAGTCCTTATGGGATATTGTGTTCAGAGCCAAGACAGCGCAAAACCAGGAGTAAACCTCAACTGGACCTGTGCGGCCAACTAAATGGCGACGTGTATTGAACGTACTTGAAGACCTGCCAGGTTTTAACGAGACGGAGGCGATTGCAGCATTAGCCCACCAGCCATTTCTGTGAGGTGTCACCCTCACATACTAAAGTGGTGGAATACTGCTCTCGCCAGCCCAATGTCGAGTTAATCGTATACATGTTCCAGTATGCCATGAACAGGATCTAACTGGTCTCAATCCTGGGATGCTTTTTGGGAGGCGGCATCCGTTCGCCCGGACACAGGAGATTCATCAAGCATTTCTGATCTTTTAAATCAGGCCCTCGGCTCCTGCCGCTCTTGGTCTGGGACTGCTTATTGGTTATTCGCAGCTAACCCACCGAAGTAGGCCGTTCACGATCCGCCCTGTGTGACCCCGGTAAGGCCCTGAGCTTAGCCCATACCCCCTGAGCTTAGCCCTTACCATTATTATTATTATTATTATTATTATTATTATTATTATAATAATAATTATTATTATTATTATTTCGTAGCAACTTTTATTTATCAAATTTTTTTGCTTACCTTATATTCTGGGTTCATATCACATAGCACCGTGTCTAGTTTGGGCGAGTAGAGTGGCTTTGATGAAATCCAATAGGGCGTGCAATGTACGCTGCCCCAAACAGTGAGCGCGACTATGACGATTTTGGCGCGCCGCACCGTGCACATTGTCTGCCGCTTGAGTGGGTAGCCTACAGCGATAAAGCGCTCCACAGTGAACGCCACTACAAACCAAGCCGAACAAAAGCACGCCAAATTGCTAAAAAATGTGAAGAACTGGCAGAAGAAGTCGCGATTATAGATGTCAATGTCTACAAAGTTAAGCCACTGCATGAAAAGACCCAGCAGGAAACAGGAGTCGCTAACTGCCAACGCGGCCAAGTAGAAGCTTGACGATAGTTTGCGCAATTTCGTTTTGATAAAGACGCAGACGCAGAGTATGTTTCCCAAGCTGCCGGTGCATACCAAAACGGGCACATAATAATAGTTCAGCATGATGCCGAGTATTTCGAAGGTGTCCAACATCCCGTTGCTTACATCCAAGCCGCCAGTGGTGGTATTGCTTGTCGGGAACGTATTGACGATTTGTGAATTGTTGTTTCGACTACCGAAAATCAAATTATTTTTAATGCCATCAACGTTGCTAACGTCGTCACCGCTGATGATGGAATTGTTGAGAAATGCAAAAGTGTCATTAAACAACTCGCCCACAAATGTGGAGCGCGTTGAGGTGGGGGGCTGTTGCTGCTTTCGGCCATCATACTGGTGGTTTGTCCGATGGGCTGCTGTGTCTGTCCAAGTGCTAGACGACGTGGTCCATTTCTCAGCATGCGGCAATGCCGGCTCCATCGGTTTTCCACGCCTATTCGCCAAAATAATTTCGTTTGATGCTATTGGCTTCACTGCCGTGCTTTGTAAGTCCATTGCTATGTATGTACATACTTACGTACATATGTATGTATGTATTAGCCTGGCCACGCACTCATTAACAAATTGTAGGTTTTTAATTTAGGATTTTGTAGGGGCTTAGTGTCAAGTGCTCAAAACTCATTATAGTTACTGTATGTTGCCAATCTCGATCTCGTGCACTAACTAACTTGCAAAGTTTATGATTTTGTTCGGTTTTTGAGTACTTTTGTCTAAGTTAAAGTGGCGCGCTTAAATTATTGTCCATGGCGGTTAAAATGTATGCATATATTTGTTCACAATTTCAGTGTATTTATTCTTGCCCACTTCAATCTTTTTGTCATTATTTGAAGTATTTAAAGAGCAACACTTCATTGGGTTATTTGCAAAAGCTTTTTGCCATTTTAGCTCTAGGCCCTTATCTGTGGACTTTTCCTACCCGCACTTCTACATGTTTGTTTTTATTTTTCACATTCATCGGCAGGATGCTACAGGATGTTTTCACTGCTTTGCACTTTTTTCTTTTGTTTGCTTCAACTTTTTTTGCTATAACTTTTGTATCCGCCGCTATAGGTCTCATAAATTCTTGCTTTTTCACTTTTTTGAGCTTTCATCGCTATATTCTCGTGTTTTGCTGTTTTTATTTTCTTAATACACATGCACATACATATATATTTTTAAGTCTTTCTGCTCTGCTTACCTAAAGGATTTAAAGACTGCAGGACATTAGCCCAACATTTACACAATCAAAGGAGGTTGGTCCTTAATGCCAGGATGGTGACGTGAGTTCTAAACATCAATATACTTTGTAATTATGCTGCTTCAATATCGTACCAAAACAAAGCAACCTTGTACCGCGTAAACTTTGTAAAAAAAACATTGTGTACTCTTTGACATTTCAGAATGATTTTTGTACAATTGGATTACTTTGAAAATGCTGGGCGTCGCGGCAAAAAATATTTATAAAAACCCTATTTGAAGTAACAAAACTAGCAACTAACTTGTTTAAAATAGAAAAATTTAATCTTATTCTTCAACGTCGGTCATTGTTTACCTTGAAATGCCGTGAAAGTATCAATTAGCTTAGCGATGTGCGGTTTGCTTTCTGTAAACGCATCGATAACTTTTACGATACATTTTGGTAGATGTAGGGTTTGCCAGATTGGATTTTTCTCCCTTAGATTTAGGGCTTCCAATCGAATGTCAGCGTAGAGCTGTAAAACTATCGATAGTCAGCCCAATCGATGTTTTCATAGTTTGCATTGAACCTATCGGTAGTATCGAATAATTTTAAAACGTATTTACGAAGCTATTTGTATTAGGGATGTCAGTGGCAAAAATACATCGATGTTTTTCTTTGATTCAATGCATCGAAGGGCATCGATGCATCGATTTGCATAGCATATTTCTGAAAATGCTTCACATAGGGTTGCCAGATTTTTTTTTGGCGCGTAATCAGTACATTAGACTTTTTCATGCTATAAAAATCGGTACTTTTCAGTACTATTTTATTCCAAGCAGAATTATGAATGTAAGTAGCAGATAATATTTACTTTGAAACGCCAGAGTACTTGTTTTTAATAATATCTTGGTATGGGTAAGGCTTATACTATTATTACCAAGAAAAGCAAAACAAAATTGTGTAACGCAAATAATTTCATTGTATAGTTCAATGTTTTATAAATCTGCACCCAAAAAAATTTTTTCATTCGGACTCTTACTTTCAAATAAAATGTTTTTCATAAAAAGTAAAAATGTTATTAGTTTTAATAAATACGAGTATTTATTCACATTAACATGTAGTACGAGATACCTTTATAATATTACAGGAGCCAATAAATTATTTTACATACATGCCATTTTTTAATAGCAATAATGATATCATCTCCATTTTCAGTGTTTAAATAGTCAAAGAACTCTAAACATTACATATTTTAATATTACTTTTAATTTGAAGATCACTTTCTAAAATTTTAACAAGAACTCGGTTTCTCTCTTTTCACCAGTAAGCAAACTTTATTTTAAGTTAGTTCCTCTCAGGTGCTTCGTTTGAACGTGGTATTGAAAAAACAAAATTACATATTTATTGAAACTGTGGAAAGAGACTTCTATTTAAGGACTGCATTTATTTCCTCATGGCTTAAATTATTTTTTCAACTGCGCAAAAACTTTGAAAGGCTAAGACTTCGCCAAAAAGAGTATCTAAATTGAATCAGTAAATTGAGAAAAACGAATTGTAAGTTGTAGGCAAAGCCATTCAATTATTCAAGTTTGTTGTGGTTAACTGAAAGTTATTTTCGAGATAACTAACAACACTCGACAAAAAATGTCAGCCCTCTGGTAGATAAATATATGGGTAAAAATTACCGATCACCGAGCTACCGTGTACCAAGCTCGGTGGGAAGAACTTTATTACAAATTTGATTGCTCAGAATTGAAAAATAAGTACAAATTTAAAAAAATCAGGACATTAGCGTATTGATTGAAGGAATGAATAAAATCAGTACGAAAGTTGAAAAATCAGTACTGTACTGATTAAATCACTACGTCTGGCAACCGTAGCTTCACAACAAAATATCTTATTAGCAAAACTGTACGAAATTTTAACTGAATTACTGCAACTGAGGTAATTATTTTTCTAAAGGAACTTTTTGGAGCCATTTCAATTTTTTGGTCAAAGTCTTCTTCTTCTACTTCTCTTTTATGTGCAATTGAAAAACTGGAATTACCGTTCAATGTAGTTTTCAAAAAAACATCGATGCATCGATACATCGCCTATTTAAAAATCGAGTGGAAAATTTTCGATGCATCGAAGCAAAACATCGATATTTTTCCTACATCCCTTATTTATATATATGGTAGATTTACTTCTTCATTTCAAAGGTGGTGTTAAAATAAAGCCTTAACCCTTACATATTTCTGGATAGAGTGGGCACCTAAATATCTAAAAAATTTAAAACGAGTATGATATATCGTCGCTACCACGTCGAACGATCGAATGTGCAAAAATGCGTATTGCATAATTACACTTAACTTACATTATTACCTCATCTTAGTTAACAGATGCGTGACAACCCTATTTAAAAACATTTTGGTCCAAAGCTTATGTGTACGCCCTTCGTGTGATACTTATGTTGTTGTATTAAATAAACCGAAATTTTTAATAATCATTGTTTTTTTTAGAAAGGTGGCAACCCCAATAAAAAAATTTTACATATCTTCAAACGCTTTTAGTTTTAATGAAGAAACTCAAATATTTTATTGACCATTAAATAATTTTAAATTTTCAAATATCTGGCAACCCTATTTTTTAAATTTTTTACCACAAACCTACAGAAAACATCGAGTAGAATTCAAAAGAGAAAAGAATTAAGGACATCCATTGAGCTGTTCGTGCGTGATTAGGGTTGCCAGATTTTTTATACGCGAAATCAGTACGTTATACTTTTTCTTGCTAAAAATATCAGTAGTTTTCAGTACATTTTTTTTCAAAGCAAAATTATGAATGTAAGTAACAGATAATACTTTAAAACGCCAGAGCACTTGTTTTTAACAATATTTTTGTATAAAAATAATATATAGTCAATAAAAGATAAAAGTGTTATTCACTTGAGTGTACACATCATTGTACACAGTATATTTATGATATGAAGGTCCATCTATAATTCCTCATGGCTCAAATAAATTTTTGGAACTACGCAAAAACTTTTAAAGACTAATAATTCGTCAATAAGACGTCAGTCTTAAATTTAAGCTCCATAATATTATCGCAACTGGTACGTAACGACCCGTCGGTATGCCCATAAAACGATTGATCTTTTTTTTGTATTAATTTCTTGGGAAATACAAACATTATTTGAAACATTTCAACTATAATTTAATTATTTTCTTTTTACTTTTTACAGTACGGTTACAGTAAAAACCTTAAGAAAATCCTAAAGTATTTTGTTTGAATTGAAAATTCAGTACAAATCAGTACAGATTTCGAAAAATAAGGACATTAGCATACTGATTGAAGAAATTAATAAAATCAGCTTAAGAGTTGAAAAATCAGTACTGTACTGATAAAATCAGTACGTCTGGCAACCGTATGCGTGATATGCTTATGAAAACATAAAATAAGTAATTTTTGTATATAACAGATATGATTATGGGTTATTAAATCACACTTGCTAAAATGCTTGAGTTAAAAAAGCATTATAGTGCTATTTTTTTGTAGACTGCAATTTTACGAAAAAAATTTATTTTTCCTGTGTAAAATACATGGGAAACTTCAAAGCCTCGGCCGCACGGGCCGATTTCAAAATAAAAAATACGTGTCTCCTTATTTTTTCTATTATTTATATCTGAGGGGTAGCTGAAAGAAAAAAAAATGGACCACTCTAATGTACAGTATGCATAAATGTGTCTGTATATAAGAAATGATCTACCTATAATACACAGTCATCATAAAAAAAGAATGCTTATAGGAAAGGTTTTTCGTTCAAATTCAGATTTTCTTATATGCAATAAGTACTGTACTTCAGAGGAAAGGCTAAATGGGCAGAAAAATAAATTTAAAAAAAGCTAAATCGGAATTTATGTTATGGCTAAGAAATATAGCTAAATTATTAAATCAAATGTTTTTGGTCGTTATTATACTTCCATAACAGTGTCATTGTTTAAGAGAAAATTGTTGCATTCTTGTAAGGAACAAGTTATTTTTACTGAAATAAATATTTTTCGTAGCCTAACAAAATCTAGGCAGCTTAAAACAAAGTTTTGATTTCACCTCATTGTTCTGTAAACAGTGACGATTCGGTGTGATATTTAGCCCCATCGTGTGAAAACCAATACTTCAGTATCCTCCCAATAACAAATCGAGGGTACCTTTCCTGACCAACTTCTCTGCAACGGAGTTCCCTGCAATATAAATAGGGCCTGGTACCCAAATGAGTCTAACCGGGGAAAATCCCTTTGCCAAAGTTGAGCAGTTTAACAGACATTCGACTGCTGCCTTAATGCTAGCTCTGCCGGATGCTTGTGCCCTGCATGAAAGAACCATCCACCGACACTTCCGTTAAGCTTCGACCCATCCGTGTAAAAATTCCCCGGTGCTGTCCTGCAACTACTGCTTCCCGTTCACGTGAGTGTCGAAAGCACAGTATATACAGTAATAAACCTTTTTGAGTACTCCTCGGGGGTAAAATCTGATCAGGGTTGATAATGAGAATGAGCATGAATTTTGTTGATTCAGAGTTGTACTTGTATACAAAATTACTGTGGTATGAAAAGGAGCAACAACCGTACTATGGCAGAGTGGCATAAGTCATGACTGTGTAATAGTGCCCGAAACTAATTGCAAAAGTGTAAAAACATTGCAAATTATTGTCTATTATTGTAGATACTAGTACAGATTATCATAGTTCAGTGTATAATTTGTTATATTACACCGTAATGAAAATGAACTAATGCTGAAAACGCTTCTAACTTGTAGATCACTCATACTTGGGCGTGTTTAATGGACTGCCTGGGAGGATGCGCTGGCAGGCATTGAGGCCTGTATAGCTATACAAACCTGGTTTTTTGTTTTTAATAAAGACATAAATATATTCGAAAATTTGGCTTGATAAATTCACAAAATTTACGTTTTTCATAAAAATATAATCTTTCTATGGACTTTTTTTATTTTAAACTTACATTTAAGAAAATTGCATTCAATGCTATAATTA